TATTGTTGGTTAAGTTTAAAATTGTTGGGTAAGAATTGGATAGCCCATTGCTTACACTTCATTACTTTTTAATAGTTGAATTGGTGAGTTTTAAATGGGTAACTGCTTAAACAAAAGTCGGACAAGGTTTTGATCTCTCGACTCTACCCCTGATTTACTTCACTAATAACTTCCAGCCAATGTCCTCCTCCCCAGTTTTTGTTTTATTAGTATTTTATGTCTTTTGATATTTAACTGTCATGTTAACTTGTTCCTGGTTTGGTTCGCGTTGGTTGCAGGCACTAGTCGCTGATTTTGAAGTGTCAGAAGGTATTTATTCCCGGGCTAAGATTGAAGATGCTGAATCTGTGTGTTTATGGCTAGGGGCAAATGTCATGCTGCAGTATTCATGCGAAGAGGTATGTAACTAGCTATGGAAGATTTCAGAAGCATGCATTCTTGGATATTGGAAGTATTGGTCTTCACATTTTGTTCACTGTATAGGCAACTGCACTTCTTCAAACAAACTGGGAAAATGCAAAAGCGAGTTTAGAGGTTCTTGTGGCTGATCTACAATTTTTGAGGGATCAAGTGACAATTACTCAGGTAGATTCTGGCGTTCTCCATTAACTCTCATCTAGGTAGAACTTAGCTTGTACTGAAGTGCTGCAATATTGCAATGTGTTGTTTGCTCCCTCTGTTTCAATTTTATGTCTTACTTTAATTTTTAGTCTATTTTTTAACTTTCTATATTCATTAATTTTTAATTCCTACATCGTACATGACATGTTTAAGAAACACAAGATTCAAAGGGTATTTTGGTTCAATAAACACATCTTTAGTTTAAGATCACAAAATTTAAAAACCTTCTTTACTTTCTTTAACTTCGTATCCAGTCACACTAAGACACATAACATGAAACCGAGGGAGCATTAAGTTCTTCTACTTTTATCTTTAGAAACATTGTCATGCTCTTTTGTGCTTATTCTTTTAGCTGCTATGGCTCAGGTCACAACTGCTCGTGTATACAACTGGGATGTTCATCAACGTCGACTTCGACAAGCTACTACTCCCAAAGAATCATGAGACACATGACATTGCATCACAGAGTACGATTCATATCTTTTTAGTTAATTTTTGAACTGTTGTTGCAAAGATCATGAATTTTTGTTTGGTTTTGCCATCATTAATGAGTTAAATCTTTGCATCAAGAGTAGCAATTTTTCTAAGACATTAGTTATTTGTGAGCTAAGAGACAAGAATATCTGACCTGTTATCATGTTTGTTTTGTTGTTTCCTAAATACAATGTAGTAGCCGCATGTACTGGTTTGAGTTCACACATCAGGTCAAATATTCATTATGGTTTGCTTCACAAACATCTAATTTATGTATGGCTTTACTGAATGATCAGAAACGCGTTTTCTGCCATTGGGGTTAGAAATGGGCAGGTAGACGCGGATTCAAGATTTTAAGTATCCGTATGGCCATAACTTAGTGTTATATTATGCATGAAACCTTGAAAAAAAATCTCCTTGTACTTCGGGTTTCCATAGTAACAACAACGAATGTGCTAAACTCAGTGCCGGCTCAATGCTTATAAAAATTAGGCATATGCCTTAGGCCTCCAATTTTAGGGGGCCTCTAATTTTTACCACGACAAATTATGTGTTAATTGTTTTTATAGAAAAAATTAATTATCTAAAACAAATGTATTTTTCTTTAAAAAATATATATTATTTTATTCACCTTAACCTCAATCAAATGGAAGAAATCTAGAAAAATGTTGTTTTGTCTGCTTACATTCTCTTCACTAACTCTAGCGATGTAATTTTCTAGATCCCTTTTATACTATATGTAAGTTAGAGCTCTATCAAAAATATGAATCAATAGTTTGGATAAAGTGAATTACAAGTCTGTTTAGATTGACTCATTTCATGTGTTTTTAAACCAATATTATAAGTAGTATATAATAATTGCCTCAGCTAAAAGATTTTAGGCCTTTAATTGAAATTTTTCGCTTTAGGCCTCCAAGTACGTTGAGCTCCCCCTGGCTAAACTATATAGAAATCACGACAGTTAAGAAATTGCAGTCTTTCATATAAAAACTGATCAATTCATGGGTAATACTATAAAATTACAAAAGTTATATTTTACTCTTTCTGACGAAGGAGATTCAACTGACCATCTTCCGCTGTTAGGGTGGGGTATGATTATAGAAAAGGGAGCAGAATTCAGCTGAAGTGATGCCATTTTGACAAAGCAAATTGTCTCCTCAGTGAAGACAGTGTGTGTTGTGTGTGGTTGGGGTGGGGTGGGGTCGGGTGGGGGGGGGGGTCTTTGTAGTATTTCAAAACTACGTGTTGACAAATTTAATTGACACAGAAATTAGTTTACATCAAAAATTGAATGCTTTGGACACATCCAATGACTGTTTTTTGACCATATTATTTTCTGTTTTGTATGACAAAAAGTAGTCTAAACTCTAAAGGGAAGCAAGTTAATGTAACCTTTAATTAATTTGTATTTTAAAGTACCATAGTATTATATAGTAATAACAAAGAAATATGAACATTGTTACATTGCCACATTGATAAAATTAAAAAAAGAAGAAAGAAGTATTATTTCGTTTGTTTCAAATTGTTCGTTTTATTTTCCTTTTAAGTACATTTGAAAAAAAATACTTCCTTTTTTTGACAATCTTTTTTATTTCAACTTTCAACACGACATGTTTAAGATCACAAGATTGAAAAATCTTCTTTACTTTCTCAAACTTCATATCAAATCAAAACCAAATAAATAAATTGAAACGGAGAAAGTAATAGAATAGATTAAAGAAATACTCCCTCTATCCCAATTTATGTGGCACTTTTCGTTTTTCGAGAGTCAAATAGTTTATGTTTGACCGGAAATTTGCGCATGAAATCTTCAATTTTTTTGAAATGATATTTATATATTTGTAAACTACGTAAAAAGTACTATAAGTCACAATAATTGATAATTCAAAATGTTTAAAAGATCTATAAAAAATTTATGGTAAAAAATAGACTTGTTTAAATTTCGAAGTCCGAAAAGTATCACATAAAATATAGGACGGAGGGAGTATCATATATGGGCCATGACCATGATCAGAAAAAAGAATACAAATATTGGATAAAAAGCAGAGAAAAAGTTGGAAAACGAATAAAATAATAGAGCGTTAAATGAACGTAAAACCTGGACTATAAATTATTGTCACATGATTATAGCTCAAAGTAGAAAACGCGTTAAGATTAGCATGTGCTCTGTCTCTAAAAATTACACTCTTATTTTCGATTATACTTATTTTTACTTATTCATTATATTAAAAATAAAATTTTAATTTTACTCGTTCATTTTAACGTTAAGAATACCAGGGCGGAGCTAGCTACAATATAGATTATCAATTCAATCGAGCATATATATATATATACTACATCAAAAAAAAAATTAGTGGTAATTGATTAGATGTGACTACTACATTTTGTAAATGTTTTTAAAGCTTATAGTGATATTAGATCTACTGACAATTAACCAATACCAATAATTTTTTTAGCATTTTTGACTGCTGCGTATATCTATTGTTATTAAAAGTTATTTTCGCTGTTGTGGTGACGTGAAACTCGACTTGTTCAAGTATTGCATGGTGTTGAAACTAGTTAAAGTCTTAGCTGTAGCCTGCATATAATTGATAACGTGTATCATGATTCATACGTCTGCGAAAAAGTTTTTTTGAAAAATATTTTCTTTAAAAAAATAATTTTAATAAAAGTGGAGAAAATAAGTTTTATAAATAATATTTTATATTTATTGTATCCTTTTCATCCATTCAACGTACATAATCTCTACTCCTAGACCGTACACCCCGTCGTCAATGGCGAAGCTAGAATTTTGTTTAAAGGGTGTCAAAATATAAAGAAATAAAATCGTATAGAAGCTAAGGAATGTCAATATGTAATATATATACATAAAAAAATATTTTTATTCTGGCTACACAACGTAATTTTTCGACGATGGGGTGTTGATCGACACCCCTTAACTACATGTGGCTCCGCCACTGCCCGCCACTTTCAAGGTCCCACTCTTCACTCCCTTTGACTCCCATTGTTAGATTTCATAAATGATAATGATTTTTTGCTTAATTACCAAACACTAAAAAATAAATAAGAAATTTTATTTTATTTTAATAAAAAATATTCTCTTTCATACTAGAAATCACCCTTGTTCTTAGTTTATTTTTGTTGTTAACTATAATTATTATTTATTATATTTAAATTTGTGATTTAATAAAATTATTATTTTTATTTGTTATTTTTTAATAATACTGTTAAATTAATACTAAACAAATAAAAATAAATCGGAGGTGTATTACTAGGAAATAAATATATGAGAAAAGAGACACATTCTTGTATCCCAAGAAAGAATTTTAATTTCAATTAAATATCTCCGGTATCCTGTCAACAATAACGCGTAAGAAAATGCTTGCCAACACTTGAATGACACATTTTATCGAATTTTTGAAAGGTTAAAAGTGTATTTTAATAAATCAAGATAGTCAATAAATTTTTTGAAATTTTGTTTCTCTTTTAACTTATATGATTTATTTTTTATAGTCCACCTAAAAAAAAGAAGAAATATTTTTATATTTAGTAATAATTTAATTTTAAAATGTCTATTTTAACCTTAATAAAACGATCTTTAACGAGTAACAATACAAATATCTACGTATAACTATTTTTGAGAAACTAAAAAAAAGTAGTAAGTACTACTTTTCTTCAAAAACTAAGATATTTAAGTACTGTTAAAAAGTTTGATCAAATACTAATTATTATTCGTTTGAATCGTAAGTATTAATCAAACACAAATTGCTTCCGCACCTTGATTTCCTAGGTGGCAAAAATCTAAAAAAATATTCCCCCTTGGACCACCCTGTTTTTATTTTATTACACTAATATATATATAAACACAAAGAGTCCTCTTCACACTTACAAAAATCCTCTGTTTCCATGGAGAAAGAAAATAATGTAAAAACAAATACTACTTCAATTGGAAATGGAAATTCGAGCTCCAACACCATGTTTGATATCGAAAAAGATTATTCGTTAAGTTTTTTATTAGAAACAATGTTTGGTGTTGATGAACATCAAGATTGTTATAATACTACAACTAGTTCCATTTTCGATTTGCTAATGTTTCCATCTCAACAGCAACGTTTTATTACTTGTTCATCACTTCCAGAATCATCATCAATATTATCTGATCATTTGATTAGTAATGTCGTCCCAGTAATACCAAATTTATCGTCGATTTCTTCATCATCAACTGAATTACCTGCTCATGAAGATCATCAACACAAGTATAAGAAACAGTAAGCAAAATATTTCTTTTTTACTTAGTTTAAGTAAACCCTATATGATAAGTTTTAATAACCATGTTAAATCATAATATTAATGTTTAAATGATCTTACACATATTGATTTATGTTTGGGGTCAAATATATAAAAAAGAATGTTTAATGAAAGGTGTGTTGTTTGATTTGAACAAAGATCTATGTTTGCTCTGATACAATATTGATACTTTAAAATATAAAGAAAGCGTATTTTCCCTTAATTATATCTTCAATAGTTTTGACAAGCTGATTGTTCGCTCTTATTATCTCAAAAAAGGTATCTTTCTTTTTTTTAATTCTTGAGAGAAAAGTGATCATACGAGAAATTAATGGTTTCTTGTTTATTTGAAGTTTTTGCAAAAAGTGATATGAGTTTTTGTTGGCTTAGGTTAAAACCTAATAAGAAGAAGCAAAAGGGCAAAAAAGAGCCAAGATTTGCATTCATGACAAAGAGTGAAGTTGATCATTTGGATGATGGTTTTAGATGGAGGAAATATGGACAAAAAGCAGTAAAAAATAGCCCCTTTCCAAGGTATATATACATCTATAAGCAAATTGCAAAATGTTTCAATATTTTTTAATTTATATACTACATTCTATATGTTTACCTATTACAACAAGTAATAATATTCTGATGGTATAAAAAATTTCTTACACCAACAACATACACGTTCTCTATAGAGAAATTTCACATTCTTTAATTTGAATTTGAATTTTTTATTTTATCGTTAATGACATGATCTTATATATAGTCACAAAAATATCATGACAGATTTAAAATTACAAATTCTACGAACACTTTCGATTGTGGATGCAGGAGCTACTATCGTTGCACAACATCATCATGTGGTGTGAAAAAGAGAGTAGAAAGATCAATTCAAGATACTTCAATAGTTGTTACAACTTATGAAGGTGTACACACACATCCATGCCCTTTAACGCCACGTGGATGGGTCGGAGTTCAGCCGGTAACCACCACCTATGGTGGCCGCGTTGGTGGTGGTGATAGTGGAGGAAGAAGTCATTATGGTGATTATTCCTCTTCCTTATTTTCAACTAATAATTCACTGCAAGAAAAAAGGTTTTGGAATTCTTCTAATTCCTCTTTGGCTAAAGATGATCATGGACTTCTTCAAGATATGGTGTCATCACGTATGAGAAGTGATCTTATAGAAGAGTAGGAAAAACGAGTACGATTTATATAGTCGATCTCAATTTATTTGAAACGTTTTTAGCTAAGTTAATAGTAGCAAGTTCTTTTATTAAATGGTGTTATTTTTTTTCATGTTGTAGAATTCTTTGTAGTAAAATAATTTTGTCTTTCATCAAATCTATCTCATTTTACTCATTTATCACTTCAACAAAAACAACCTTTAGCGGCAATACATACACATTAATAAACAGTGATAAAGCTTTTACCGGATTAGTTAATTGTCAATGGATTCAGTGTCGCTATAGGCTTTAGGGACATTTACAAAGAGTGCTAAATGCCGCTAAAAATATATTTTTAGTGGCAATTAAGCTATTGCCGTTAATTAATTGTCGCTAAAGATCATTTTTGATGTAGTGTATGAGCTCCTCTTGAATTGCATACATGTAGTTCTTCTTGTCACAACTTGAGTGTGTTGAGACTGGTAAATATATATTATTTCATTCTTAATCAAGGTTTTGGATTAATTAGTCAGGTCTCAAAACGAAAACCATATAACGAATGGAAAATAAAAGGAAAAAAAAGTATATATGTTGTCCAACATGCATGTTAGGGTTTCCTATAAAGTGAGCTAATAAAGAAATCAATTTTGACGTAAATATTGAGCAATATGGATAGATTTGTTTCCTTATCAAGTATAACAAATTTTTATCTAGCTTCCTCCTATACTAGATGAAATTCATATCTTACCATAGTTCTTTTTGTCCTTAAAAATATTCATCTTCTTGGAAAATAAACAATTCTTTATCACCATTTTCCTATATATCCTTGTCCAAATTAAAGATATGCTTGCCAAAGATGAAAAGTTAGGAAGAAATTAAATAATTTTAAAGGTAAGTTTCCACAAGTGGAAAGCTTATGAGGACTTTACTTTTCTAGTATGAATCATCTATATGTCAAGTTGTTTGGTGTATAGTACTTTTTCGAAAAATAAAAGATAGATTTTTTTTTTTTAAAAAAGCAAATAATTATAAAAACTTAGTCAAACATACTATTAGCACGCCTTTTCCACTTTTATTGAATTTAGTCTACGTTAATTAGTTAAAACTATGTGGTAAGTCCTAAGTACCTCGAAATGTGGATGGTACCCCTATTCCACCATATTTCAACCATGTAGTATAACTTTGAGATTGGGGAACTACCTACAAAACCTTCTTTTTTCTTTGTATGTCAACATATTACCTAACGCGCGATGTTACCTTTCTAAAAAAAAAAATTACCTAACGCGCGCATGACATGACTTGACTTTTCCATGGTATATTATTTCGTTGTTTTTATTACTCTCATTTTTGTATTCCCTTTTTCAAACTACTTGAAAATGCTATATTTTAAGTCGAAAGTCTATTGGAAACAATCTCTCTATCTCTACAAGATGGGGATAAGATCTGTGTATACTATAACCTTCACAAACCCTGCTTATGAAATTACATTGAATACATGTTTCAAGTAGCAAAGGATACACAAGTTTATTAAATTGCACTATATTTTTTCAAGCCCAAAGAGCTAGGATTGACATGGATGTAGATCCAAGAACAAGAACTATAAAAGATACTTTTTTCAAGAATGGTTGGCCACTCATCAATTTGTTGTGAAAGAAATCAAGAGCAATAAGATCAACTAGGGCCATGTATATTAGTATACCAGAAGATAAAGATCCCAATAAACCTTCAAGGATTAATGCATTTGGGCTTGTATCATCATATCCTGTTATTGAGAAAACTATCATCCCCAATACTATACCCATTGGTGTTGTCACTGAGAACATGAAGCTCATATATGCTGTTGTTCCAAAGCTAAATCCTGCCTGTAATAAAACAACAGTCAGACCTCTTTGTAATAACCGTCCATTGTAACATATTATATTATATATTCTTTATAACAACATGTTATACCAATTTTTACCAAACACGCAAACTCCTTATTAGCAGTTTCAAATACTTCTATTCAAACGCATAACTCCGTATTAATAAAATCAACTTTAGCACATAATTTTTTTCCCCAACACTTATGTTACTTACTACTTTTAATTAGTTGATTCAATCAAGCTCTTAGTATAATTTCATTTGCTATATATAACAAGTTTTCTTACCAATTTTTTAGCTTGCCAATCATTACCTACTTATATAAAAAGTTAGACATAATTACATAAAAAGTAGACACTCAAACTTGATCTCTACCTAATAAGTAAATACTTTAATATTGAGACTGCACATCTAGACATCTCAATTCATCATTATTGTACAATAGAGACGAGTTGAGATGTCTACTGTATGCAGTTTTTCCCTGCATTTCTGCAAGTGAACATTTATTCATATCGAAGGTATTACCTCCTGATCACAAAATAATAACTTTATCAGTTACGTTAAAATTACCTGAGCGATACAACCTCCAAGACCCATCCCTTCAAAAATCTGATGAAAAGATAGTGCAGCCACAAGAGGTCTAATCGTACACTGATTCTGCGACATCCCTAAAGTCACACCAATTATAACAGAATGAAAAATTATCCCAATTTCCAAAACTTGCGATACTAATTTCTGCTTCAATTTCACCAATTCCTCTGCTTCTCTCTGTTGCTGTTCAACGTCAATTTTCTTACTCAAAATCCCTAATTCTTCACTATTCCCAACTGCCGCATATCCTTCGGCCTCATTCTGATGACTTTCCACATGAGAAGTCGCCGTCAAATCGACTAACAACGCCGTTAATACGCCGATCAAAGTTACCAGACCGGAAAACGGAAAATCCTTCCATGGATGACGGGAAGAAACTTGACAATCGGAAAGTGCAGTGAATGCATCGGGAAGAACGTGAACAAGCGAGGTGGAGAGAATTACGCCGGCGGCGAAGCATTTGATTATTAAAATCGCTTTATCGTGAACCGTTTTGCCGTGAAATAAAAACCGGGCTAAAAAACCCGGCAACGTTATTCCGATTACACTAGTGAAGAAAATGACGAACATCGAAATGAGTTTGAGATTTGTTGCTGCTGTTCCATCTCTACATGCTAAAGCTCGCGCTGTATCCATCACACACAAAGCCATATTTGTTACTACTACTACGTATCGAAACAGGTCAGATTCAGAATTTGAAATTTACAAAGTTTTACGATAAATTTAGTTTGTTTGAATGATTTGTTCAAAGTTTGTTTTTGTGTAGTAGTACTAAAAATAGTAAATGAGATAATGAGAAATGGCTTTATTTTAGGATCGTAAAGGAAGTGGAGAGCATGAGGAAGTGTTTTGTTTTGTCAAGTTAGCATTAGGATTACTTGTGGTGCTTTTGTGGAATTTAGTGGTATTTGTGTGTGATTTCCATTGTTGGCATTTGTGACTGGATTTGCTAAAGTAAATACTTTGTTACGTAAGCAAATTTTATTTAAATATATTAAAATTTTTATGACTTATTTATACTAACGTAGATTGTCATTTGAGGACACTCTAATTTTGTTAAAATTAGTTTAATATTTGTTTATTCGATCATGTATATTATCGATTGAGTTTTAATTGTGATTGGATTTGAAATTAGGAGAAAAAGAATTACACGTAGTCGTCATGTAGGATAATAAGGGTGGAAATAGAGAGATCAATAATTCAAGGATAAATATGTGTCTAAAATTTTATGACAAAAATTTTTGTTGAAAAAGTATGACAAGTGGTAACATAACATTTTTTTTTTTGAGATTACATAGACAAATATAACCCTTTTATATATATATATATATATATATAACATGTTTTAAGTAATTAACTTATCTACACAATTATCATAAGAGAATACACACAATTCTTTTTAAAATTGAACTATACATATACATATATATATATATATATTAAAAATAAAAATAAATTGACAAAGCAGTATTGCTGGACAAAACTATATCTATCTCACATTGAGGCTTAGAGTCATATTCAGAGTTTGAATGTCACGTGAGTCATTGTGCAAATTTACTATTTATAGTTAGGAGCGTTTTCGGATCGGTTTGAGTTGATTATTGGTCAAAATAAAAATTAAATCGCCTTAATTGATTTTTAAATTATTAAAATCATACCAAACCAAATATCATATACATTCATCAATTTTGATTCGGATCGACAGTTTGATTATTAATCATTAACGAAAATAAAATAAATGATTCATTGAAAAGAAAAAAGAAGACAATAGTTCATTCATAAAGAAAAGTAGTTAGAATATCTAGCATTACAGAACTTCATCACTAAATTTACCATGAATAAAATTTCAAAATCCACCCGTTTGAACTAGACAAGAAAGAGACACTGAGATTTTCAGTCCTATCAAGAACTGCACAAACGCCAATATACATGCAACCAACAATATAAATATCTCCTAATAGGCTCTTTTTCTTTTAAAAATAAATATGATAGCAATTGATGAAAATATATATAAGATATTTAAAATTATTGATAACAAATATTATATTATATATATAATGGCAAAAATATATACAAAATTTATCGATTTGATTCGATTATGATTTGATTTTTAGATATAGATATTTTCTTCCGAACCGTGAACACCCCTGCTAGTATTAGCGATGAAGATTACGTGTGTCGGCTATAATTCATTAAAGGATTTAAAAATTCAGGCACCCATTTAATGAAACTTGTACTATTTGAGATCTAATATATTTTAGTACTATTCAACAAAGACTCCTCCAAGTATTTTAAAGTTCTTTCATGCCCCCTTCACTTTAATTCCATCTGCTTCTTGTCTTCTTTTTCTCTTTCTCTATTCAAGGTACTCTCTTTTTTCCCTATTTCTTTTTTTTTCTAATTCACTTCATCTGAATTTTAGCACTAATTTTCTGTTTTTTTTTTCGTTAATTGAAGAGGATTTAGAATGCCTTGATTTGATAAATAAGTTGTTTTTGTTCATTCTTTAGCTGTTGGGGTTTTCTGTTTCATCATGATTTGATTATATTGAGCTACTTTTGTTGGGAATCTTAGTAGTTTAGTTGGTTGACTATATGAACTTTCATGCTTGTTGGTGAGTGTTTGATTCCCAGTTTTTGTAATCTCCTTCCCTATTTTCCCTGCCCCCAAATTTTAAAAAATACAAAAGGAACTACTACTTTTGTTGGTTTTATTGAGATGGTAGGATTCATTTGTGTCTAAAGTTTAAATCTTTACCTTTTTCTTTTCCAATTCAGTACTGTTTTTTTTTTAAACCTACAGTAGTGAATCTATAGTTGTTAATTATACTGAATTCTGAAGTACTAGTACCATAGTCGGAATCAAGATTTGAACTTTATGGGTTCTAAAGAGTAGTGACATCAGGTGTTAGTAGTAACTGGATTTCGAACTTAACTTTTGTACGTATTTTAGTGAATTTCTTAATATAGATATGGAGTTTGAGCACTCAAGGTTGTGACTTAGTGGTCAATGAGGTGGGTTGAGAACCATGAGGTTAGGTCCAAATTGCAGCGGAGAAAAAAAATCAGTGTTTAAACTAAAGCTACTACATGGACTTCTTGCTATGCCCCTGATTAGTACCTAGACTGAGTGGATTACACTTCAACAAAAAAGAAAGAGTGTTAGAGAATTGATACACTTGACCCAATTCAGCAGTAGAAGCTCATAGGATATTTTTCAAATCGTAAATTTGTTGCATTTGTTACTAACCTTTGGAATTTAACACCGTTTGCAAAAAAATTGTTATTTTTTCCCACTTCAGATGGTATTTTGAAGCAGATAGCGGATATTAGCTGGCTGCATCTCTTGATTTATGAGTTTGGTTTAGTTTAAGTGTAACGAGATTGAGATTTGTTGAGTGTAGTTTTTATGGATCATATGTTATCTAGAGGGAGTGATTTTGAGGTTGATCTTGAGAGCTGTAGGAGTACGAGTGGAGAAGCCGGAAATAATAATTCTACTTTGGATGCTAAAGCAGGGAATGTACTTTTCACTAGTGTCTGTAACGGAGATGGTGAAGAACTTTCTAAAACTGAAAATGGATTGAATATGTATAGCCATACACAGGATGGGGATGAGCTTACTCGGGGGAGTGTTAGAGTGTGTATAGATGAGGCAAGTTTAGTAGAGAAGAAAAAAAGCAAAGAAAAACGTAAATCCACGAGTGCTAAGAAGCCTCCCAAACCTCCTAGACCTCCCAGAGGATTGTCTTTGGATGCTGCTGACCAGAAATTGATTAAAGAGATTGCGGAACTCGCAACAATTAAACGTGCACGGATTGAGCGAATGAAGGCTTTGAAGAAACTGAAAGCAGCAAAAGCGGCACCGCCTTCAGCAGCATTGAATGGCAGTTCCCTTGCCTTGCTCTTTACTATTTTTTTCTTTTTTGTGCTATTGTTTCAAGGTAAAAATCTCGATTTGTTAGTTTGGGTTTCCTATGTCCTATTATAGAGTGGAAATATATCAATGCACAAGTTTTAATGCAATTTCACACCAAAAGATTGCCTCCTCGTTATTCGTTGAGACAGACTTTACTTTCCTAAAACACATGCTAAAGTAATTGATTTACACACTCCCTCGTTCTTCAGCATGTCAAGTCATGTTAATTGCATTTCATACCTGCAGTCAGTTTTTTCTTTTATGTTTCACGCTTTTAAGTGACTACATATTGGTGTAACTTAAGTAGATAACGCTAATAATGGCTTTGTAACTTGCCACCACATAAGCAAAATCATAATGGAGCTGTTGGTTATCTCCTTAATTCTGTATATATGTCAACGTTGTTCTTGTTTCGGAACTTCTATTTCTTTCTCTTGATATAGATACCAGTTCAGCAGTTCCTATTATGTGAGCATCTTCATGACAGTAGAAAGATGCAAAAATATCAGTGAGCATGAAATATATGTTCATTGATTCAACCTTCTGTTCTCTTTCTTTCTCTTGATATTAATACTTGTTCCTATTAAGTGTTGCTTGCAAACCACATTTTTTGCAATTGATTCAACCTTTTGTTCTCTTTCTTCTCCTTATCGTTCCTTCCCTCTTTTCTTCATACTGTTGAACCAAGAGTTTCTGATGATTTGGTGTTGACAATATTGTATGCAGGGATATCTTATAGAAGTTCAACTATGAACTTTTATGATTCAGTCCAACTGGGCAGGGTAAGGGAGAATAGGTTCATTATTGTACAGGAAGACTCTAATTTATCCACCAGTGCTGCCATCGTCGCAAGGTCTGACTCTTCTGAGTAAGTACTACCCTAAAATTCTATAATCATCTGAAAATGCTACTTTACATTCTGTACTTATGGATGATTCTAGTTGGCTAAGTTTTCATTTGCTTCTTATTCTGTAGTTCAGTGGAGCAGGCTTCTGGTTTAACTCATGGAGTAGTCCGAAAATTATCACAAGCTGAAATTCAGTGACATGGTCGAGCTATGCAAATATGAATACGATTTCCACTATGTTTATGGTACATGCTGTGCCTGCCTGAAGAAGTTCTATGTAAGTGACTCGGCACGACTGCCTAATTTGTATACCCTGTACAGTGATTGATACTGGTTGATTGAGATGAATAACCACTGGCATAGCAGTCTTAAGGATGAGTCGGAATTGCCAATTGCTGGCTAGTCTCAAATTGGAAAATAGCTTTCTAAGCCTAATTTCCATGTGTGTTCTGAGTAGATAAATGTTATGATATTTGGACTAGTTAAATTGTGCATAGTATACTCACAACAAGAACCCTGTAATTTCAGATCAACCATTTTAACATGTTTACTAACCGTTCCTTGTTTGACTTGCTTGCTTGCGTTAACTATGTATTGATTGCCTAGAGGGACTGAGGATTCAAGATTTTAGTATCTTTCAGAAATACTGCCCCGGGGCTTAGTTCAAGTGGCAAAGGTTGAGAGACTTGTGACTTAGGTCAGAGGTTTGAGAAGCCTTGCACCATACGAACAAAGCCTGGCATTTAAGTGAAGAATGGTAGAGGGAGAAAGTCCATTATCCCCGAGTACAGAAGGCTGTGGTAGGTCCTAAGGGTTGATCTCAGACAAATTTAACCTTGTAGTATTCAGGATGGCTCAGGTTTGCCCCTCTGTTACGTTACACTTTTGGTCTTCTTACGCCTTTGTCGTCAACAAATCATCTCATATTTGCCCTTATCACTAACGGAGCTCCAGCACTATATGTGTCCATATTCTTCGAGAGAGAAGGCTCACATTTACCTCACTTTTGACTATGGTTTAAAACTACCCTCGGATGCGAGCTCCATTAGAGGTTAAGGCAAACATGAGAGTCATTCCTAATGGCTAGTATTAGATCAAAAGTCAAATGGAGATCTCCGGCAGAAACTTTTTGGGGATAATTTATATGCTTCGGACTCGTTTGGTACAAGGGATAAGCGATAACTAATT